AAATAATAAAATTAATTAAAAAAAACAAAACAAAACAAAACAAAAAACCTACCAAAGGAAGATTGGAAAAAGAAACAGCAGAGTGGGAATATCCACAAATTCCAGTCACAAAATTGGGTTGAACAGAGAAAATAGTTTCCTGGCACACTTCACATATTAAAACATTAGTTAACACCCCAGACTCACGAGGGCATCCTTGACCAGTTTACCACATCTCCTTTCTGGTTCCTAGCCAGCATTACACAATATTCCAATAACTCCCTCCATTATTCATATGGTTATCTACTCATCTTTGCTTTAGACAACAACTTTTCTTTGCCTTTGTTCCCCAAATGCCATACTTAAAACTAAACTTGTCACTCATCATCATACCCACGGGTTTTGAATTTATACAAAGTTCTGTTCCTGGGCACTTCACTTCATGCATTGAGTGCCAGAGTGGTGTAGTGGTTTAAGCATTGGACTAGGACTTTGGAAGACCAGCGTTCAAACCCCTGCTTGGCCATTTAAACCCACTGGGTGATCTTAGGCAAGTCACACTCAGCCTCAGAGGATGGCAATGGGAAATCCCTTCATAAGAAACCTGTCAAGAAAACCCTATGATATGATATAGGGGCTTTAGCGTTGCTATAGGTCGGAAACTACCTGAAGGCACACAACAACAACCTGTTGAAGTACTGTCAAGTCTAAAAAAGCTTAGGCTACTAATTTCTTTCCCTCACTTTCACAGGTGCTATGAGAACTCTTTACACACTGATCCTGACTAACATGCCTATGTCTTTCAATTCTGAACAAAATTTGTCATGCTTTGGACAAATCATGAGACATAATTCATTATAGGACAATAATGCTTGGGAAGGTAGAAGGCAGTAGGAAAAAAGATTGCATTACAGATGCTTAAATTCAATCAAAGAAGCCACAGTCCCAAGTCTGCAAGACCTGAGCAAGGCCACTGAGGTTTCTCATCCATGTTGTTGCTGTGCGCCTTCAAATCATTTCTGACTAATGGTGACCCATGACGAATCTATAACAGGGTTTTCTTTGCAAGATTTGTTCAGAAAAACTTTGTCTTTCTCTGGAATTGAGAATAAATTTCTCAAAATCATCCAGTGGTTCCTTTGGTTGAGTAGAAATTCAAACCATGGACTCCAGACTCACAATCCAATGCTCAAATCAGCATCACACACATTCTGTCATTCATAGGGTTGCCATAAGTTGAAGTTGGCGTGATGACAGTTAACAGCAAACCAGTCATAAGCACAATTTAAAGTGCTGGTTATGGTCTAGAAAACTTTATATGGCTTGTAAACAGGCCACTTTAATAAGGTCATACCTGAAAGAACCTATTCTCTCATACAAACCTGCACCAGACTTCATGATCTATAGCCATGTCGGTGAACTTATGGCATGAGTGCCAGAGATGGCATGTGAAGCCAATTTCCCTGGCACATGGAGTGGGGAAAGAGGAGGAAAAGGTGTGCTCCTGTTCTTTCTCCTCCTGGCTGTCCCAGGCTTGCAGCTGAAAACCCAGGAAGTTGTGTGTGGAGGATCAAGTCCCATTCCCCCCAGAAGTCCCGTCTCCCGCATGGGTAACACATGGTGCTGGAAGGCCGTTTAATTTGGGCACTCAGTGCCTAAAAGTTTCACCATCACTGATTTATGGAATAAACCCTTTTCTTATTACTACCACCCTGTGAAGTAATTTTATGATACATATGCAAGAAAGGACCTTCCAGTTGTCTGCTCCTCTCACTGCAGTCTCTCTAGTAGTAGATGAAGATGTTAAAAGTGCAGGCATACCTCAGTTAACAAAGCCTTTGCTAATTAAGCTTTTTATAAAGTCTTTTATACCCATCCACCCCCTCCTTTCTTCCTCATGCCCTGTGTAGCTGAAGGATTTTTAGCTGCAGCACCACTAAGAGGAGAGTGAATGAGGACTGTAGAAACACAAACTTTTGGTGCCAGATTGGAGCAATGTGTCTGCAGTAAACAATACATTACACAAAGCTGTGAATGGGATTCTGCTCTAGACAATTCTGTTATAGAAGTGTGTGCTTGCCTGCATCAGGCAAGGGAAGCAGCAGCTGCTTCCAGAATCTGTTACTGAGCATGCGTAAACAACTAAAGAGAGAGAGAATTGGAGAAGCGATAAGCCAGCCTCACTAGCTTTACCCAGCATATTAAGGGCAGGGGAAGCATAGATTTAGAAGTCTGGCCACCAAAATGTAAATCAAAAAAGTGGAGGAGGCTAGTAAAGTAAAAAGGCATCCTGAGATTCATTTTGGAAGAAGCCATAAAGTGGTCTCTACAAGGTATCAAATGTTTGCTTATGCATGCAAGGCTTATGTGACCTGGTTGTTTCATTTCACATGCACATATTGTTTTGATTTTAAAACTCTTCTTAAACATGTGACTTACTTTGTGTGTGTGTAATGTAGGAATAGATCCTTACTCTTTCCATGTTATTTCTGCATCCAGCACCAAATTTTCTGTTAAAGAAGTAATGCCCAGCAATACACCTACTTGTTCACTGGGCTATACTTGTATTCAGACAGGATTTCATCAAGAAACGGGATATTAAGGGTTAATGAATGTGCTTTGCATTTTTAATAGTTCTGTTTTTAGACTACAGTCACCCCTCCATTCTTGAGGATTCATGTCCACATTTTACATATTCACATGGGGTGACCTCCATTTAAATCAATGGGGTGCGCTCCTGAGGGCATGCACCCATTCAAGCCTATGGGGCTTGAATATTCACTAATCTCCATTTTCATGGGGGGGGGAGGAGCAATGGATTCCCCACAAAAATGGAGGGCCAACTGTATTTTTAAATGTATTTTAACTCTTTAATAGCATTTTACTATTATTTGCCACCCAGTTCATAAGAAACATAAAAGACTCACAATTACACAGACAGTTAGGCTAGGAATCAGTGAAAGTCAAGGGAAACAGGTACAGACAACAATGTTATCATATTAACAGTGGCCATTCACAAGACTGCAATGATGACCTAATTCATATATACTGTGTGATTAAAAAACAAACATACAAAAACCTTTGCTCCTGGATTAGCACCAGCAATTGAGTTTATCTTCTTGACTAACTGCATCACAGCTCTTTTATGCTGAAATTTGTTTTTGAAATTTCTACAAACATTGATCAACTCACCAATTCAAGCATCTCTGTGCGATGTTGTGAATCACTATGATTAATATAACAATTACTACCACCTATACTTCATGAAGTTCATTTCCCTCTGATTTCACCATTTCGAATCCTTCTTCCCAATTCAGAAGTGTGTATATATATATTTGTTACTCAAAGTGACATGCCAGGCATCTGAAACATGGGTTATAGTCCACAAAAGTATAACTGCATTATTTCTGACACTTTCTGAAACTTGATAAACTTTGATGTTCTAGTTCTAACAGAATAGAGGGCTACTCCTTTGGAAATTCCAGTAAAGCATTATCTTTGGCATTATGCCATGAAAGTATGAAGGACCAACTTAACAGGAAGAGTTCCACAACTTCACGGTAACCAGAGATAAAATATAAATGCCTTAGATGTGTGCATGCTTATTTGTAAGATCTTCTCAGCACACTGGTGAGCTCAGGCTAGAAAACAGGCAACTGCTCTTGTAAGTATGAGTATTACTGTTGAAAAGCTGCAAGCTGAAACTTCATCATGGTGGTGGTGTCAACTAAGAAATCTATGGCTGCATTCACACTGGAGAAATAATCCAGTTTGACATCGCTTTAACTGCTATGGCTCCATCCTATGGAATTCTGGGAACTGTAGTTTGTGGTGCCAGAGCTCTCTGACAGAGAAGGGTAAATGTTTCACAAAACATGAATTCCCCGAACCCTATAGCACTGAGCCATGACAGTTAAAGTGGTGTCAAATTGGATTTCTGCAGTGCAGATGCAGCCACAGTCCAATGCTGTGTACATGGTAATTGATTCTAACAGATATGGGGTCAGGAAAATGCAGCCACCAGGGTTATTTTTTTAGTGTCCCTTCTTTATTCCCCCAGCCCCATGCCCTCTAAATAATATACCTCTGCTGTTTTAAGCCCTGGCATGGTGCTTCTTTGAGTAGGAAATAATCCATCAATCAACTTTTCTGTCAATTTCTGTTGGTTGGCGGACCTTCTCCTGGGCCTAAAAAGGTAAAGAGGGGAGTTGCAAAATTGTTTCCAAATTCTGGGAGAACTGATGCATGTTTTGGAGAGGAAAAATAGAGAATCAGGTAGCAATATGGCCTGGGGGTGGCAATTCAGCCCCCAAACCCCCAACAATTGGTTACCCTTGTAATTGATAAACATTAACTTCAAGGCCATGTAATTTATGACTACAACAAAAATCTATAAATGTATTTGAGCATAGGCAAGCATAGGTGTAGGTTAAAAGAAGTGGAGAAAAGAAAAGGACAGTTTTCCCAATTAAGAGTCCATCTGCTGAGTGCTCCCAACCCTTGCAAAATTATGAATTCTTCCCTCTGGTGAGCTCCCTAAAAATTAAAAGGCCAACAGAGGATGTTCTTGATTATGTCTCCAACGAACAGGAATTCCTTTGTCTTTAATTATTCATATCCTTGGCAACTTTAGATCCTTATCTATTGACAGAGGATGGCTCCATTAAAAATTAATGTGGGCCACAGAAAACCTTACATTTAACTGAAGTTTTATTTTATTTGGGGACAAAATTATTCATAAATTCTCTTTCAGCTGCCCTCTGAAAGATCTGACCATACACCTTACAGCCACAGCCACAGACATACATCTAGATACAGTAGTAGAGACAAAACCAGCAAGCAAGCAAGCAAAACAAAAACAAAAGAAAATAAAAAGTCTTAAAAGCAGTTACAGTTGCCCCTCCGTTTTCATGGGGGATCAGTTCCGGACACCCCTCCCCAGCTAAAGTGGAAAGATGACAATATTCAAACCCTATTGGCTTGAATGACAGTGCATGGTCACTGTGGGCTCCCGAAGGCATGCACCATAGGAACATGCCTCATTTTAATGCTCTCTATTTGCTCCCCGTGAACGAGCAAGGGACATGGACTCAAAATCTGTGAAAATGGAGGGGCAACTGTATTTTGCAGAAAACAAACAAACACACACATTCTATCCTTAGTGTAATATACCTTGGGACCAAAAGACTTGTCATCTGACAAACTTGTGTCATTTTACACAACTATTTCAAGGTTTATGGGCAGGGTCATTATTTCCAATTTATATCTCCTATTACTTCCTGTCTCACCCCTACAACTGTGTTCCTCCTGCCTCACCATTTGGTTTCTTTTTACAATGCAGTAGCAGACTAACACAACTATATCCTTAGAACAACTGAATTCCTCATTAAATCGAGAGATCACATATATTTTCTTCAACCTGAGAGGGGACTATATGTCAGACTAACAGGACAATAAAGTGCACTTAGTCAAATCTTTCTCATTCTCACACACAATTTAGTCCATATGATCAAAAAAGTTTCTTGC